GGTTTGCTGCGTTGGTCGGAGGGAGGGTAGGAGTTACTTTACCCGGTTCTCTCTTCAGTGATCTACAATCCACAATTCAAGCGGAAAGATGTAAAAGTATAGAAAATTCTGTAAGTGAATTTTTGAAAGTTTCATTAAAATAACTGCAATATTCTGAATAAAAAGAAGCGTTACATTATATGAAAAATTTTGTAAATTTTAAAATGTGCTTGCGAGTTTAACTGCAAAGCATTGCACATCTTTATTTTTTTTTCAAGAGAATGGTTTTTGACACAAAAACAGCTTTCACACGTTACCGGATTTGAATATTGCTTCAGAATTCCAGTTAACATATATCAGCAGTAATGGTGTAATGAAATTGAATTTCCTAATAAGAAGTTACGAAAATTAATTTACGGGAGAGAAGAAAGTACTTATATTACAATACTATGAGCAGCTCGAACTCATACGATTAAAGGTGCAATTTTTTTATAATTATTAATCTATAATAGTTTAATAATTAGTTAAACTTATTTTTAATTGTTTCTTTGCTCTATGAGCATAGAGCTTTAAAAGAATCTCGCAAAAGAGTCATTGAAAATATTTAAAAATAAAAAGTTTTGAATTTTTTATATTTCATTGCAAAAACCATAGACACAAGTCACTCACAACTAGGTCAACACTAACAATGTTAATAAATTATTGCAAAAAACCAAAAAACCAGAAAAAAAAGAAACGTTCCCACTATTTTAAAAATTCCCAAATTAAATCGGAAAATTCAAATAGTGTTTTGTTTACTTTCAGTTTATTTTTGTTCGTTCTGTTGATGTTGCCATATAAATTTTATGTGTTTTAACAGTTCAAAGAAAAAAGGCGCGGAAAACGAAAAAAAAAACAAAAAAGGAAGAACCGTTTAAGTTATGCAAACATTTACATAAAGAAACAGAAACAAAAACTGAAAATGTAAAGTTTTCACTATGGTCAAATTAAAGTACAAAATGCTAAAGCGCAATGTATAAGACCCTGCTTGCCATTATGTCAACTTCGCAAAGTCCCATTTAGTGAAAATTGTATTTCTTTTTTTGTTTTTTTGTTTTTCTTTGAAATATATTTACATAAAATATCACATTACAAAAAGCATTGCTTTTATTTTCTTGTTATCGAAATTTTTTGTGAAAAAGGTTGTGCAGTTTTAAAAATACAAATACGAAGGTGAAAAATTTTTCAATCAGAATCTTTTTGTAGTTTTCTTGCATTTCTTCCTTATAAATCGTTTTTAAAAAACCTTCATGTTTTTAATACCATAAATCCATAAGAAGGAACTAGCGAATATATAAAAGTTTTTTAATTTATTTACTTTTAGTTGATCACCTTAAATATACAAGGGATGTGTAGCAGTATGTACATTACTTTTCTCCTAAATATCAAATCGACTCCATGAATTTGAAGATGAAAATTCCAAACTTTTAGGGAAATTATGTCTTTAAATACAAAGACTTCACAATTATACGAGTATCACCAAATAGATAATACTTATTAGCGTGAAATTATCAAATAACTTTTTTAGTCCTCGAATTTGCTGCTTATACTCGCAGTTATTAAAATTTTGAACCTAATTTTATTTGACCTTTATACAATTCAACTTTGAATTTTAAATACCATTCATTTTTGATTTATGCCTTGCGCCTTTGATTAATGTCTTAGTAACATTTAACTCAAAAGCATTGTGTAAAAGAGAAAGATTAAATATTTTTTATAAAGTTTTCCATGCATTTTTGCCTCAGCTGATTTAGCCTCAGTTATGCATACTCGTAAATATTATTACTTACTCCTATATACATACATAAGCATTTTAACTATCTCCTGCTTTATGTTTCCACATAACTATGTAATTTTCCTCTGCCTTTATCAACAAGAAGAAAAGTCAATTTTCTTAGTACATATGCACGTTATTGAATGTCTGTATACGGTGCGGGGTGCTGTTTTGTAATTAGATTAGTGGGAAATAAAATGGAAAGCAAAATAATTTTTCAAATTTTTTTTTTAACCTTTTAAGGCTAACGTTATAAAATGTAGAAGGGGAGAAGTGTGTAGCGAAAATCGGAGAATTAATGACAAAATGATGATAAAATTAAAGGTGAAAGAAAGCCCAAAATTTTTTTTTGTTTTATTTAATCGCAGTAATGCCAATGCTTTTTTTATACACACATATTTGTGTCTAAAAATTTCGTTGTCAATTATTGTTTTATTTTGTAAATAATTTGTTTTGGTTTTTATTTAGCTATTCAATTACAATGAATAAATTGGATAAAAAGCTCCAATTAATTTTAATTTGTGCATTTTTTTAGAAATTTTTTTATGGAGGTAAAACTTACAATATAAATATAACCAGGAAAAAGAACCTTATGCTAGGCTATTTGCTCTCACAGCAGCTGGAAGTTTTCTTCTAATTCTGTTCTATTTATGTGCATTGTTGTGCCTATGGATATCTTTATTTTTTGGGTTAATGTACATAGAGCACATTGATATTACAATTTTTCTAGAGTTAATGCTTATAACAGTTTTCTTTTTTCCCGAAACTCATAAATTATTTTAATTTTCTTCTAAACATATATAAAACTTTTATTTTGTACGTGTCAAATTATATAAATACTCTATAGTACTTAAGACTCATACTTATCTCTAGATAAGTAAATAGAGATCTTGTTAAGTATTGATAAAGTTATATAACAACATACTAAGTACACACACATATGTAACGTACATAATCTTTAAGACTCAAGGAACAACTCATGTCATGTAAGAGCTAAAAATTATACATAAAAAAAAAGAAAACAATAAAAACGAAATAATGTAAGAATGAAACGGTCTTGTATAACAAAAAAAAATTAGAATTTTCCCCTAAAGGGCATAAGCATTTTATTTTCCTTCGTTGTATTTTAAGAATTCCTGAATAACAAAAAAAAAAACAATAAAACATAAAGAAATAAAAATTCTTTTTATATTTAAAAGAAAACATTAATGTTTCTTGTAATTTTTAGAAAGGATAAAGGACATTTTGCGCTTGTAATGAGATAAAAATAAAAATTTATGTTTAGAAACAGTTACTATTTAACTACTTATGTAATATTGTTTTACTTTTGTTGTCATTCTAATTTTACTTTAACTGCATTAGAAATATAAGAAAATTTTCCGGCTTTCGATTGACCTACATAACGTTTAAAATTTAATAAGGAATATTTTCTTTTATAAATTCCGTGTGTGATTCCTAAACAAAAAAAAAAGAAGAATAACAATGTTTCAATTGGTTTCTTCAATTTGGTGTTCTATATTTTAATAAAATTTAGTTTCATGTGTTAAAATTACAAATTAAATTTAAAAATAATCGAAAAATTCATGAAAAAGCGGTATGTCTTAAGTCTAGCTAAATTGTATGACGAAGTTTACAAATTTAACTAAGATAAATTGAGATCATCATAAATTTACTGTGAACAAGGTATATGTATATACTTACAAATACATAATATACATTTAAATGTGTCTAGTCATTATTAACGTAGAAAAAATTGCTGTCAAACTACAGTATGATAAATAAAATTACATTCTTGAAAACACCTGATTACACTTTTGTATAACTGTTGGAGAAATGATGTATATAAGTGTCAAACTTGTTAAAGTTTTGTAATGAAAACAGGTTGCAAAATGTTAAAGCTATTAAGATTTAGTATAAGATTCGGGCTATTAATGTCAAAATTCTACAAAATACAAAAATATGCAAACTGCACAAACTACAAAAATACGATATTACTTTGACATTACTGTATACAAAAGCTATTGTCTCAATACTTTTATAATACGTTACCGAAATATACACGATGCATTGGATAAATACCGTATTTGTTTTTTTAACGAAAATAGCCACATTTATTTTAATCCCGCATAATTTCCAAATATGTAGACTTCTTTCTAAAATTCTAGAACTTTCTAGATCCTAATTTTGTTTTTCATGTACTTATATTGCAATTTATTTCTGAAGTAGAAACATTTAAATCTTTCCTGCATTTACTTAAACTAAAAGTATCGTAAGTTTGTAAAAACAAAAATACAAATGAAAAATTATGAAAAACTTAAGTCGTCTTTAAACATGACCCTATTTTATTAATAAATTTAAATTAAAACAATAAATGCAATTTAAACAAATATATCATAAAAGAATTATTAAAACAGATGCTTAATCCGCTAGATTTGCTTTCCTTTCAACATAAATTTTTCAAAATTTTGATATTCTTTTACTTTTTACCTTTGCATATTTTGAGTGGTAAAACACAGAACGAAAGATAATTCCATCCGTCTCTAATATAAACTTTACAATTTACTTTTTATTTTAGGAATCAAAAAATGCATTCATATGCACCTCTAGGAACCAATGTTTATTCTCCTAATATGACAAAAGAAAAGTCTTTTTTAATTGAATTGTTTTTGTTTTTTTTTTTTTAATTTTTATGGACTACGGAGACCCTTTTAAGTTCTTTAAAGTTCATAGAATATGTTTTGGGTTTTGTTATATTTTTAGACTTGCTTTTTGTTTTCTTTAAAATAATTTATTAAAATTAGTGCTATTAGTGGAATTTATTATGACTGCTTGTTAACGAATAAGTATTTTATACTATTTTTTTTTGTATAAAATGCCTTCAAGTTTGCTTTTCTTTAGAACTTTAATATTTCAGTCAAATATTTGAATTTAAGTTAATTTTGTGAAATTTTTATAATTATTGTGCAACCGCCCTTTCGTCGTATATTCGTAACTCTATAGATAAATTTCACATTGAAGAATCATTGAGAGCTAAATTTCATGCGGTCCAATTGTTGTATTGATTTTGAATGATATGAAATATTGAACATATGTGTGTAGATTTGACCCTTTGAAAACGATGGAAAGCAATAATTTGTAAATAAACATTTTCAAATTTTTGTCATTTTAACAATTTTAATTACTACTTAATTTTTGTTTTTTATTTCAGACCTCCTCCCAAATTTATGAAACGGGTTGAACCCCCAACAGTACCAGGTTCAGCGGGCATTGGACCATCATCGCCGAAACGTGCTACTGATACATCTGGATCTGGATCATCAAATGAGAGCCCATCAAGCTCCTTAGAACGTAATATTAAACCATCAGATATATTGAGGCAAAAGTCTGATTCATTAGATGCCAAAGCACTATCAGCAAATCGTCGTACAACACCAGAATTAGGTCGTTTTACAAAATCATCAGATTTAGCCGAAGAATTTGGACGTAAAGTTAATAAATCTGAAAGTTTGGAAAAGAAAAAATCTACAACAACAAGTGCCAATATAACTGGATCAGATTCTGCTAATGCTACATCAATGAAAATAAATCAAAGTCCAACTGGAAGTTTGGGAAAAGCAGGTGGTGCTACTGGTATTAATGAAACAATTACCGTAAAAGCATCACCAACAAATAGTTTAAGTAAATTTGCAAATGCTCGACATAATATTGATAGTCCAACAGGAAGTTTAGAAAAAAGTGGCAGTGGTAGCGGTAGTGGTGGCAAAAAATTGGATATTGGATCAAAAGAATCATTAGCTTCCCAGGGAAATATTTCAGAAATAGTATGTTTTTCTTAATTATTCTTGCATAAAGTTGTTTTATTAATTATTAATATTAATGAAAACATTATTTTGCAGATCAAAAGTTATGAATCAATTTCATCAATTAGTTCAGATGGTGCATGTAATAAAACAGGACAACATAATAATGAAAATGAACCATATTATGATACAGTACCAATGGATAATGGTGAAGGTGAATATGTTTACATAAAACCTGGTGGTAATGGTTCAACATCTAGTCGTGATGATTTATCAACAGCTGGTAGTACATTACCAATGCCAGCGAATCCGAGAACAAGCAATAGTCATCAACAGCAACAACAACAACAGCAGGAACGATCACAACAACATCAGTTACAACAACAGACGGGTGTTATAGAACCGGAATCTCCAGGACGCAATTCTAATTATGTTAATATCGATTATTTCTTACAGTAAGTAAAATATTTATGAATAATTCGAAAACTGCAAATCTTTTGTATATTGTTTTTTGTTCTTTAATTTTTTATCTACCGTAGCCAAAGCAATGAGACACGTTCAAGTTCAATTGATAGTGATGGTGAATTAGATGCACCCCCCTTAATGCGAACTATATCACATGATGAACAGACATCACAAACTCCAGGTGCTCTAAGAAAGGTACAAAATGAATTTCAACTCGTTTCAGATAAAATAAAATCTCATAAAGTTTCGATTTTTGATATTTCATTTAATTTTTTTGTTGGTGATGAACTTTAATAACCATATAACTTTTTGTATATTAACATCATTTTCGTAGTTTAAAAAAATTTGAATTTAAATATCATTCCATTCCACTAGACTTGTTATAATTATCATTATTACAATTTGTTTCTAACTCACCTGTTTGAAACGTGTTAATTTTACTAATATTTTAAAATTTTGTCAGCAATTTTTAAAACATATATTTTTAAATTTCTAATAAAGATCAACTTTTAACTGTAATCCTTATCAGATTCGTTCACTCAAATTTTTTTGATTAAGATTCATTAAAGAAGGTTCTTCACAAAAATATAGGTCAAACTTAAAATAACTCAAAATTTTGCATATGCCAAGTTAGACATATTTCGAGAACATTTTTTCAACAAATACATACTTCTATTCATTTATAACAAGCTATAAGCATGACGGATTTCTTTAAATTTTCTATATTCTACGCGTTAAATTAAATTGAATATTTTTTTTTATAAAAATTCTTTTAAATAGGATTGTTCATTAACTCTGATTACTCATTATTTATTTTAATTGAAAATAAAAAAAATAATTTGCACATGTAAATATTTTAAATCAAGCAAGAATATGTGAAATTTTCGATATACTTTCATATAGATTGATTGCTTAAGCAAATTTCAAGTGAAATTATGAATCTTTTTCAATAAATGCATATACATACAACTTACAACAATTTGGAGAAAGTGAAATAATTAATGGATTGTATTAATTTTTGTTTTAATGTTGTACTGTAACAACAATAGTCTGAAATTTTTTTTTAAATTAGCTGTGTATCCTATAGTATCGTTAAAATTCTTACAATGTATTTTAATAATGTTTTTATTTTATTTATAATTTTCTCTTAATCTTATCTTATCACAAATAAATAACAAAAATTTTAATATTTGCTTATTACAAGGGCGACACATCATAGCTTTATGTTAAAATGAGAATAATGCATGTTATAAATATTTCATATAGAGTGCTAATTTATAAGGTTCAAAAAGATAATTTGATATTTTCAAATGTAACTATAATTACAAATTTTTGAAAGCATAGAATTAGATTTAAGGGGGATGATAACAAAACAATTTTCAATAATGAATATGTATGTACGTAATCGTTAATATTTGTTATTTTTTATGAGAAGAACGTAAAGGTATTATTTTAAGAAGCATTATGGAAGAAAAAATCATATAATCAATTAACTTGAGCCATTCACTAAATAAGAAGGCAAGAATTTTATTAAAAATATCGGAAGGTAGTTGACTATACTGAATTGTTACTCTTAATAAGTATAATATGACCTCATCTTAATCTAACTCTTAAGTCTATTGTGGTCTGACAGTTTATAATAAAAATACTCATGCATATATGTAAATGTTTTTAGGTTATTAAGTCATAAAAAGTTATGTGTTTGCAGTTCTCTTTATTTAAAACTTCCTTTCATATTTTTGGATTATGTTAAAAACTCATATAACTTAAGTTTCATATCATTTTGTTTATTATAACATTTAACAATTCAAAATGCCACTGCCTACATAGCAAAAAGGTTCAAGCATAAAAAAAATATTTCCGAAATAAATAAACTTTTTTTTGAATAAAAAATTTTTTTAAGATAAATTTTACTAACTTACAAAAAAAACTTTTTTTCATATTGTTTTTTTCGTTTTGGATAAAATATAGAGCTTACTATCATCATTACTTGTAAGTACTAAAATAAAAATCTATCAAACACAAACAAACATCTTGGAAAAAATATTTAGATATTAAATATTTTCTAGCTTTAAAAAAAATTATTTTGAAACGCGCTTTAACCATTTCAACATTTATTAGCTTAAATTTTTATGAATTTTATTTTTGCTTGAAATTAATTTAAAGTATTTATTAATTTTATAAAAAGTCATTTACGTTACAATTTTATTGCTTATTTAAGTCTATACTTGCAACCTTTAAAAATGAAATATAATATGCGTACACTCAGAAAATTCATTGAAATATGTGACTGGAATTGAAAAATTTATTTTATTTTATATTTGTTTAATTAAAAAATTAAAAATTTCAAAAAAATCGTTTAGCTTTGATGGTTAGACAGACAAATATTAGACTATCCATTTAAATAAAATGCAGGAAATAAATGAAATCTTGTTCAATGTTAAATATAAAATAATTAAAATTTAATAATCTCTCTAAATTAATATTTTTAATAATCTAGAAATAAAATTAAAAGGAAATTTTTGATTATTTTTTACCTTTTGATTTATTTAGAATTTAGAGACTGAAATATAAAAGTAAAATCTATTTAGTTTTTTTTCCTTTTTAATATTTTAAAAATATTGAATGGAACAAGTACTGTTCAACGCCACTATAGTTATGAATTAACAAAAAATAGTCAAAATGTAGTCTCAAAAGGCGAATCTTTTTGTAACGTTAAGTTAATACAATGAAATTTCTTGTAAAGTATTCCTTTAGTTCAAATTTTCTATTATATTTAAAACTTTATTTTATATATTTTGCAAATGGAAATAATTTTCTTTTAAAAAAGTTTTTAATTTTCCAATTTCTGCATAACATAACAATGTTAACTACGTTAAATATTCTAGATTTCCGGCAACTTACGAGGGACCAAAATTCGTTCAATTTTAAACAGTATTATACAAAGTGAAACCATTTACGTTCAATGTTTAAATAAAATGATTCAAGTAAGTAATTTTTAATAATTGAATTAATTCACATTATCGATTTATGATGTCAGTTTTAAGAACGTATAATTAAATAAAATTAATTTTTAATTTTAGTACAAAAAAGCTATTCATGCTACACTGGGAACATCACAGCCAGTTATAAAGGAAGAAGAAGAAAATACGATATTCTTTAAAATTGAAGAGATTCATTCAGCTCATATGGAATTTTTGAATGACTTAAAACAAAAACTGAATCAAACAACTGAAGTTGGTGGTGATATACTTGTCGGTGATGCATTTAAAAGACTATCAGATCATATTGACTTATATAGTGCATTTTTGCATAATTATGGCCAAGCAATCGACACTGTCAAAAAATGTTGTGCCAATAATCCACAATTCAAGGAAATTTCTTCTAAAATAGCATTAAATTTGCAAAATGAACAATCTTTACCACTTGAAGATTTATTACATAAGCCAGTTGCAAGAGTTCAAATAAACTCATTGCTATTCAATGATATATTAAATGAAACTCCCCCAACCCATCCAGATCATCAACAATTAAGACAAGCTCAAAAAACAATTCATGTATTTTTAAAACAATTTAATGTTGTAAATCAACGTTTACCAACTGAATCAAATAAAAATTTACGCCGTATGGTAAAGAATTCTTTTATTGTTGAATTAGTTGATGGTCATCGTAAATTACGACATTTATTTTTATTTAATGATGTTATTGCATGTGCAAAATATAAAGCAGCTGGTCGTGAACGTTTTGAATTTGAATTAAAATGGTACATACCTTTAAAAGATGTAGTTATATACGATGAAGAAACCAATACAGATAATTTAAAAGAATCAAGTCCAGCTAATATTTTACAATTGAAATCGCAAGCATGTAATGTTCGAGATCAAATTTTATTGGAAGAAAAAGATGAAAAGAAAATGAAATTAAATGGTTTAAGATCTGGTGATAAACATCGACGTAAATTAGCCGATTTAGAAGCTCAATTGGTGTTAGCATCACCTAACTTAGTATTTAGAATTGGGAATAAGGCTGCAAACAAAACAATGACATTCTTCTTAAGTTCAGATTTCGAAAGAACTCAATGGATTGAACAAATAATAAATTTACAGGTAAAAATTTAATAATCTTGTGTTTATTACAAAATTATTTATTTTTTATTACATACGTTATTTGAAAATTGTACAGCAATCATGCAACATGCCAGGTGTAAACACAATAAATGCATTAGAAATTCAAGCTTTTGTATTAGCAACACAGTCGCGTATTAAACCAGATATGGGTTCATATTTGATGAGAAATAGAAATGATGAAAGCCTTCTAGTGGGCGATTTACATATAACAGTTCAAGGATTAACTGGTCTAGAACAGCCAGCAGATATGTACATTTGTTTGGAGGTTGATTCATACGGACATTATTTTAGGAAGGCTAAAACGAAAATGGTTTGTCGCAGTACAAGTCCATTATGGAATGAAAGTTTTGTTTTAGAACTGGAAGGTAGCCAAAATGTAAGAATTTTGTTATATGAGGCACAAGAGCATAGACCGGCGTTGAAAGCTAAGAATATATTAAAGGTGAGAAAAGAAATTAAAAAAATTTCTGCATTCATTTTATTAAAGCAAGTAACTTTTTATTTATTTTAGTTAAGTCGAAATTGGCTTACAGAAGCACCACAAAATAAGACAATCAAAATGTCTGATATAATAGTATTAAACACAAATATTCGTTTCGTTCCTGGAGAAGTAACATTAAGACGTGTTCCAACATCAAAACCAGGTGCTTTATTTGGAGCAAAACTAGATCAAGTTCGAAAGTATGTTTATCATAAAGCAGCTCAACTAAATATAATAAAAATAATTCTTTTAATCTGCTTCCTCACATATTTTTTTAGACGAGAGAAACGTGACATTCCATTTATCATTAGTGCTTGTATTCGTGAAGTTGAAAGACGTGGCATGGCTGAAGTTGGCATTTATCGTGTTAGTGGTTCTGTATCGGATTTAGCCCGTCTTAAAAAATTATTTGAAACAAGTAGGTTTTTTTTTGTTTAATTTACGAGCATATTATTTTTTAATTCCCATAATTAATGTTCTTCAGATGCATATGAAGCTGAACAACTTTTGAAGGAAGTTGATATTCATTCTGTTACTGGAATATTAAAATCGTATTTAAGAGAGTTGCCAGAAGCATTGTTTACTGATTTATTATATCCAAAGCTTTTTGAAACGTTTAATCAATATAGTGGGGGAAGCGATGCTGTTCGTATGCAAGCCTTGATGGGTGTATTTGAACAACTGCCCCAAGCAAATAAGGCTTCCATTTTACATATTTTGGATCATCTGATAAGGTAAACAGTTTGAAATAACAGTATGAAATGATAAAAGCGTGCTAGCTTCTTAAACAAAATTTAATGAATTCTTCTAAAATTGTAAATTAAATTAAAATAAATTGAAAATTCGAATTAGCTTAACTTAATTTCTTATAATTGTGAACAAAAAATTATAGTCAAATTTTTCTGTCGTATATTTTAGAGTTCATCAACAGGAAGGTGAAAACAAAATGTCATTGCATAATTTAGCTATGGTATTTGGTCCAACATTATTACGACCAGGTCAAACCCAAACCAAACAAAAAGATTTATTAGCATCAAGTACAGTTGATGTAATGGCACAAGCTGGAATTCTTTACAGTTTCTTACAAGCAAGACTGAAAAAGGACTAGTGGTTCCAGCTACATAGGAATTTAGCTTTTAATAATTTTGCCCAATAACTTGTTTATATTTTTTTATATTATTCCAAAACAGATTCATTTATATATTTTTGTTTTACTTTTAAAATTTATTTAATTTTTATTCTAAAAATGAAAACATGCAAATTAGTTAATCCTTTTCTATGAAAAATAGAAAAAGAAACACGATGAAAAAAAATTGTTTAGTTTTAAAAATAAATGAGATTTAAGTTGTTGATTTTGGTAAAATTTTTATTATATTTTTAATTTTGTTTTAATTTTTAATTTATACGAAACATTTTGTTCTAATTTTTATCATTATAAATACTGTAATATATTAGATTTATGCGTTATAATATTTTAGTGGATGTTAACACCCAGTTATTGCATAGTATTACAATGTCTGTCAGTATGATTTGTATACATTTCATTATGTTAAAAATCAAAATATACAAATGAAAGTGTTGTTACTTTCCTTTCAAGAAATTTTATTGCAACTGAAGTATTTGTTAACAAGCTGAAGTAATTTTTTTTTTTCATAATGTATAGTTTCAAAATATTTTAGCTTTTCTTAAGACGTCTACCAAAATTCAAGTCTAACATTAACTAATTTAGAAATTAAAATTTTATTGCCGAATAAGTCAAGTTGACGTTACATTCCCCATTACCATTAATACGAGTATATATAATATTTAGGAAGTCAATGATTTGTATACATATTGTAATTGCATGATAACATAATGCATATTGGGTGTACAAATAATATTTAAAATAATTGCAATAAACAATGATTTTTCAAAATGTTAAATAAAAAAATTAAGTACATAATAATTTTTTTGCAATTTTGAAATTAATTTCACTTATTGCGAGAAAATTTTTTCAATAATATTATACAAAATATATTTTTTAAAAAATAACTTAACTAATTTCGTTAATATTGCTTAAATTTAAATAGAAAGCAATAATGAATATTGTAAAAATTTTTTGATTTCATCTTGTTTTATAGTGTAAATATTTTTGAATTTAAGGTATTTCTATTATTTTTCTATTCTATTATTCTTATAAAAATTATTTAACTAAAAGACTAGAGTAAAAAATTTGAGTTTTAAATAAAATAGAAATAACTAAGAATAACACATTTATATTTTTTATTGTAATTTCAATCATGTAATATTTTAGTTGAAAAATATTTAAAAATTCGAAATAGAAAATTTATAAATTCTGCATTTTTAAATGAAATTTTCAATTCATATAAATTGTGATATAACTTTATTTCATTACAATTTCTTTATTTAATAAGAATATGGAACAATTTTCTTATATTTTAAAATTTTATATAATTATGAAATTGAAATATTGATTAATTTTTGAATACATTTTTTTCAATTGTCCTTTCCATATGGTTTAGTTTTTTTTTGGTATTGCTTTTTCTGACTTGATTCTTCAAAATAATTCTTAAATAATATATACTAAGATTGCAGATATTCTCTATCGAAATAAAATACTTTTTACGCAAATCTTTGAAACCTTATATATATTTTATTAATGAAGAACTTTTAAATTACCCAAAATTAATAATGTCACAATTATTACGAAAATGAAAATGTATCAGTAATAATAATTGCAATAATAAAGTAAATCATAATTTAAATATTGTCGATATCGGATGAATGAAGTAGGGAAAATTTTAGTATGTTGTTTTAAATTACAATTAATTCCGAAAATATTCTTTTTTTTTAATTGTATAAATTGCACTTAATTTGCATATACAAATATATATCGTAAAATTTGTAGTTTTTCATATTTCAAAATAATATAACAAAAATATTTACAAATTTAAAAAAAAGGAAAACAACAAAAAAATCAAAAATCTAGTATTTAATTAAAAGTTTAATTATAAATAATTTTATTGTTATTAATTAATTAAATGATTCATTTTTACAATTACAATATCTTATTCAAGAATATCCAAAATGTAGATTAAAAAAAATACAAGGAAAATATTTTTTACTGAAAAATACAAGTAATTTGTTATAAAAATAATTTAATTTGAATTTCGTTTAAATTCAAATTTATTTTCTTGATGTAATCTTATTAATAAAACCTTAGAATTAATTAATAAATTTAGAATTTCTAGTCTAGTCATGTAAATTTTTTTTTTAATATTTAAAAAATTGTAATCAATAGATGTTCTAAAAACGTATTATGAGAAATAACAATAAACATAAATAGAATTTACATATATACATATGTATATCTATAATGTAAAATAAAAATTTATTTAATATTTTTTTTAGTTACAAATATCAAATATAAATACAGTAGTAAATACTAAGTCAATTTATAATCAGAATAAAATAGTATCCAGAAATCATAAATTATTTTAAAATAAATTTACCACTGTGGGAACAAATTAGATTCTGAGTATTTTAAATTATAGATATTCATTTAGAATCGGATTGAATTCTATATTTTTATTTCAAATTAAATAAAAATTGCAGTAATATAAAGTTCTAATTTAAGTTATTTCCACATTTTGCATATTATTTCTATTTAAAATTAGGTCAACTCTTAATTTAATATTCTAAGTCTGCAATTTATTTATGATTTAAGATGGTGTATTTACTACAATTGAACATTATTTAAAATGAAACTTTCTAATACAAATATAAAATATTAAAAACAAATTAATTAAATTTAAAAATATTAAAATACGTTGAAAAAAATATAAAACAAAACGATGAATTAAAGAAGTTTGATTAAAGTTAGTTAATGATTTAGCGTACAAGATTTTAATTTAAAAGTTGCATTATATTAAAAGTGGGGATTGAAAAAGAAATAAAAAATTTGTATACATTTTTATTTTATGTTAATTTGAATAAATGAGTCACTTTTGTGTGATATGTTTTTTTATATGTATTATTTTTGATTAAATTTTAAAAATTTAAAGGGTAATTGGTTTCATAAAAATTAGTAATTCTCAAGCCTTAATATTTACGAAAAGCATTACAAAAAATTAAAGCATTTTTCATAACAACTAATGAAAAAAATATAGAAAAGTTAGTGAGAAAACTGCTTAGTTTTAATTTTATTTATATATATTTGTATTCTTGCTTTTTTTCTATAATCTGATCTGTTTTTTAGCATGTACAAGATTATTTACAAAAAGAAAATAATTTGAATATTGTGCATTTTATGTTAATATCAATAGAATAAGTTTCCTATCCTTAAAAAACAAAGAAGTTTTCTTTCATATTTATAAAAAAGTTGGAAAATAGAATATGTAATTGCATATTTATGGCTAGGAATAGTAGTTTGAACTTAATATTGATTCATGAGAATCAGGCAATAAAAATTTTCCTGAATATTACGTACATAGTTACTTTCTGACTCTGAATTGCTTATGGAATTATGTAGTTGAAATTCATATCGAAATAGGGAAGATTCGAGTTTATGGCAAGAAATAAACCCCAGAGTTATGTTTTATTTTTGATTTTTATTTGCTTATTTTTTTCTTTTATCCCTTTTATTAAATTTTCAATCGTTTAAAATATAGAAATCAAAACTAAGCGCAAAAGTAAAATTTTTCTTTTTTTTTTGTTTTATTTGACCGATTTTTAACGCACTTGCAATAATAACTATTTAATGATAAAAGACTTTTAATAACATCGCCTTTACATAAATTAAAATTTTTGAAAGTTGATACATTTTATAAATTTATTAAAAATAAAACAATCGCCTCAAATATTAAAAATAAAAGAAATACATTAAATTTTGATAGCTCTTTGCTAGTTTAAAGTTTTGCATTCAGATTTAAAATAAGGTAAAGCTTGAGTATAAAATGAATATTTAGTAAAAGAAATTATTAGAAATTAAATAACAAATAAAATAAATTTCAGAAATGAAATTAATATTACATTTTTAATAAAAGAGTTGTTTTCAAAAAAAAAAAAGAAAACAAAGTGTATTGAAAAAATGCTAGTATTATGGTTTTTTACTTTTTCAAATAAAAGAAAATTATTTTGTAAAACGAACAAAAAATATACTTTTGGTCAAACGTTTTTGATCATTACCTATTACAAGAAAGATACAAAGAAAAATAAAAATAAATTGCCAAGAATTCATCAAAAATTGGGTTTTATTTCAATTATTTTATTACCAGAAATAACAATAATTATTATAATTATTGTTATTTCTGATTTAACTGGTAATGTACAAAAAATTTTTTTTTAATTAAAAATATTACACAACCTTGTGTTACTGAAATTCATTCTCTCAAAAATGGTTCATTTAATGTTTTATGTAATTTTTTAGCTTTTCGTGGTCCTAAACCGGTTACTAAAGATAAACGATCCTCAGATGCCAAAATTATATTTTCCAAACTACCAAAATTTTGAAGTAATGTTATTGCATCAGTTTTGTTAATGGGTTTTATATTTGTTAAAGCAGAAGTTAATTTTTGATGTGGATTAGAATCGATCCGTTCCATTATCATATCTGGTGGCTTCTTTTCTAACAATTTATAGTTTTCAATTATTTTGCCAGCTTCATCTGCGTTCCAAGCTAACACCATGGTAAGGTCAGCCAAAAGACAAATTCTTGTAAGATTCTTCAGAGATTTATATGGTTCCTAAAATTATAGAATATTAAAATATACAATTCAAAAAAAATTTTTTGAAAATTCTAACAGGTATGTCAACTTGAATTAATAAAACTCTTAATTCATATTTATTTCCTAAAATTTTTAATCTCTCACATATATAATCGGGATGTAAGTGATAATACTGTAAAGATAAATACAAGATACATGTTGTTCTTCCAACAATGTAATCAGCTGGGATATCATCACGATATTCAATTGGACAGTTTCCTATTGATTTTAGTAAAGGGTTTCCTCGTTGTTTTGAATGAACTAGAATTGAATACGAACTAGAAACACTCTTCGTTGGTCCTGGATTAAGTTTTGTGTCCTGTTGATTTTTTGCATTTGCTTGAATGGAAGAAGAAGTGCTTTCTGGCTTAGATAATTTCATAACTTTAGGTTCCGTTGCAATGCAAACATTTGCTAAAGCATCATCAAATGAATCATCTATCTCATGATCCATTTCTTCTATTTCTTTATTTTCATTAAAAACTTAAATATCAATTAAACTTAAATAACTTTTAACTAACGCTGATTTATTAGAATTTTAAATATTTTGCTTGTTAGAGGAACTGATCAATTTGTATTATTTTTGTTATATCGTCTTTTCATTTTCCAAAGGCAAAAATGTCAAAACAAATAATTGAGAACAGATGTTTGTTCCAGTTCAGCTGTTTCGAGGAGGAACAAAAAAACTGAAATGACTCTGTTGTTAGTCTGTTATTCATAAATTAATAATGATTTTGTTGTACTAAAACAAAATCATAAAATGACAAATAAAATGCTATGCTCGATATTAAAACGCTTTCTGGTTTAATTTTCCATCAACGACTTAAAGGAACCTGCATATTTGATTACTGTTATGTGCTCTCTCCTGAAATTTTTACAAGGTTTTTTATTAATTTATTAATTTTATAGTTTTTTATTAATTTTATTATTAATTGGGCCATTTCTGCTAGTTGTGCAGCTTATCCATTAACGTATGGTCTCTTTCATTTTCATTCACATATTCATATATACAGAAAGTAAATTTTAATTATCAAAAGTCTTATAGAAATGGAACAAATTTTTATATTTTTTTTAATTTTCAAATATTAAAAAATCGTGGAAAAATTAATTACTTAAGGTTAATAGATCGGATAATAGATAACAATACATTTGATTTTAGAATAATGTGTATGGAATTACATTGTGCGTTTTTGTTTTTACAGATTACAATAATTTACAATAAATTTTATTTTACAATTTCATATACATATATACATACATATATACATTTCATACACTTATTTATTAATTTAAATATAAAAAAAGAAGTTATTAATCTTAATTTTTTTTAATAAAGAAATCATATTTCTGATTCAATACATAAAATTTATAGAAAAATGTTAACTTTATAGTATTAAATTAAGGGAAGCGTTGATATCAAGAATAAGACCTAAGCTATGATTATTATAAAGCTTCTTTAATTTCCACTGTTTTCTCTTTTTTAAGATTTTTATATTTCTTCTTGGCTAAAAATAAAAAAATAGATTAATTCATTTTATTATAAGAATATTTTATTTAAAATTAGTGTTAAAGTTAAAAAAGAATAAATAAAACAGTAATTATGCGGTGCAGTGTGCAGAGGGACTGAGCTAGCCATTGAATGAAGTTTTTCATCAAATTTTAAACTGAAAAAAATCATCGCTAATATTGAAGTAGTTGGATAAAAATACAAAATTAACTTACAATTGGCGTTGACTGCTCTCAACTTTCTAAAAATTTTTCATTCAGATTAAATCAATTTGAAATTTGTTACACTTTTTAATTTTTTAAGAGATACAATATGTTTGAATGCTTTAATTAATTATTCAAATTTTTATGTAAAATATTTTTTTGCCAATTATTTCTCGAAATGCTTGGAACAAAACGTCAAAATAATTTTTTTTTATTTCTTTTAAATGAAAACGTATTTCGCATTATTCGTTTTTAATGACATCACACATAATTCGAAAATCTTTTCACCATACCATAAACAAAACATTGCGTCAATTTATCATTATTGTTTCTGTGTCATAGTATTTGTCAAATGTATAAAATTAAAATTTTATGTATAAATTTAGGAACGTAGAGTATATCTTTAATTTGCATGTTTATGGATTGTGCACAAAGAACTTTCTACATCAATTAATACAATCATATTATTGAAAATGCTCCACGTATTATTTATTACCTGCATATTATATAATTAAAAAAAGTGGTATATATACCTGTAATTAAAGTATCTGGATCTTGTAAATCTTCATCATCTTCATGTTTTACTTTTTTAATTAATTTCTTCAAATATGCCATTTTATATTCCTCACTTGGTTTACCGCCAAGGCCATAACTCACCTCTAATGCACTTAATGGAATTACAGTTGAAGATATCGGTACTAAATCTTAAAAAAAAATAAATTAAAAAATTATATAATTACATTAAAAAATAAATAAATGAAATATTTTGTTGTAAAATCGGGAATTTATTGCTTAATGTTTGTGTAGTTAATTGTTTTATTGTTTAAGAAAGATATAAAGTGTGCATATGAAATATGTTGGAACAAAAGTTAGTAACGCTTTTTTTAGTAACAGTAAGATGAACATTACATAAAAGTTTACATAAATGAATTTCTTACATATGCGTCAAGGTAAGAAAACTTCATTATAAACACATTTAATAAATTATTTTTTTGTTTTAAATAACTACACAAAATATCGCTCGTTTGCTGCAACACTTGCCTAACTCAAAATATTCTTATTTAAGAATAATGAATTTTAAAGATTTTCTCGCCATAATAAATTATTTTATAATTTTTTGTAAACGACAATTTTCTAGCTGTACAGAAATGGTAGTTTTGTAAAAAAACGAAAAGTTTCAAATGTTTAATTCTGTACAAATAACTCGGAAGTCTAATTTTTTGAGTAATGACACTGCTGTATTAAACGAGCGAATTATATATAAGTAAACGTAATTTATATTGGTTTTTCATTAAGCCAAAATAATATTATATTATTTTTTGAACAGATTTCATTTAAAATTGAGATTACAATTAAAACCTATACTATAGATGCGGTAATATTTCCATATTAAGCGATAAGAATTTAGTACTATACACATTTTCGTTCATTCCAGGAATTCGTTGGGAGTCACCTTAAATATGCACAGAGAAGTATTAAAGTAAAACTTTTGTATGTACATAATTCTAAAAATCGTATATACATTTAGAAACTAAATTACTTTTAAATTTATATAAAAGGTGATTTTTGTTCTTTTTTCTCCGGGTGATATTTTTTTTTTCTTATTTACGCGGAAGTAATTTTTTTAACATTGAATCATTCTTGCTAGGTGTTCCTTAAGAATATTATTTTTAATTCTTTTATACAATTTTAAGAATTTATTAATTCCTATGTACATACATTCATTGATATTAAACAAAGTGATAAAGGAAAAGCAGTTCAATATTACGGAAATACACAAAATCCATATTTTATTCTTATATTTTAAAATATTAACGAGAAAATTTCGCTAACCATTTTGAATATACGAAAATTCATTTTTGGCAATTAAGAGAAATTTTTGGAAATTTATATTTTTCCTATACAAGATTTTAAAATTTTAAAATCTCATTATTTTTTTTTTATTAGTTGATCAAAAGATCAGCTAATTATACTGCACATAGCACACGTACATATCTGAATAAAAATGAATAACTTAAGTGAGAAACTTTCGTTTTTAATTTTTTATTGTTTTTATTTCATTGATGCACATACATATATTCAAAGTTTTTTATTTTGTTTTTCAACTCAAGTTTATGTTAAAACACCTGCTTTATATGTGGTTACACATTTCACAGATATTTCATAATATAATTGAAGCGAGGTTTTATTAAAAAGATAAGACAACATTTTGTTATTACGTTATGTACCTTATACACACATGCTTGCATACATATGTATATATGCCCTTAAACATGCAACAATTAAAAAAAAATAAAACTTTTGCAATTATATCAAGTTTACTTATATGCAGCAATTTTATGTATAGAAGTAAAATAAAATTTTAAATATATTTATATATATATACATATGTACCTGGTTCATAAACGTTATCATCTGCAATTTTTTTATAAAGCATTTTCCCTCCTAGACCAAAACTCAATAAACTCATTAAAACCAAAAAAAGCAATTGTGACCTCATCGCGTTATTGTGATTTTTAACCTTTTTTTTTTAACTCGTTAAAAATATTAAATTGAAAAAAGAAGCTTCGAAAAAGACTAAAAAAAAGTTTTAAATATTTTAAAAAAGTATCGTTTTTAAAAAATAAAATCTTTATAAAAATATACTTATTAATTAAATCCGAAAAATTCTATTAAATGTTAAATTTGTTTATTAATTTTTTCAAGTTCGAATTTAATTTTTAGTAAATAAAAAACAAAATTTTAAATTCGGAGTAACATAAAACAAAATATTAAGCTTTTAATAACGTGATTACTTCTCAAGTATTATTCGCAAACTAAACTTTAATATTAAATTTTAAATTTTGTAATGTTTGTGAAATATATAAAAATGTATTACATATGTACTTACATATATTCACACAATATCTAACTCTTTTAAAATCATTTTTTAAATGGAAAAATTAATGCTTTCAAAGTTTATTTTTCTTTTTGAAATTTGTTTTGCAAAAAAAATAATAGGTGGGATGATAATAAGCTTTTCGAATTTGGTATACCATAATAGTAATAAAAATAAGAAATACCAGTATTTCTTTTTTTCTCTGTTTAAGTTATAGTGATCACAAGAAATTTATTGTTGGATTGTATTGAAGATACCAGTAACCATCCCTCTGAATAAAAAGAGAAAAAAAAACATAATTTCGGAATAATAGACTAAGCGGTGAATCTCTATATTTGCTATGATGTAAAATATTTACTCACATTTATTATAGGATGTTAATAAATAAATATGGTTTTACTTATATATATATATATATATATATATATATATATATATATATATATATATATAAGTAAAATATATAATATATATATTTATATATATATATATATATATATATATATATATATATATATATATATGTATATATTTATTTATAATTTTTAAGCTTACATTTTATATGGCACATGCATATATGTTTAATGGGAAAATGTAATTACGTCAGGATATAATATCATGAAAGATAACATTAATTTTGTAAAATAGTATAGAGGTAATTAACAGTATCATTGATCAAATACTTTCTTCCGAATGAAAAAAAATTTAAAATGAAACACCCCATTCTTATATTATGTAAAATTTTGAACAATTTTTTGCAAGGGCATTCTTACCATAACATTTTAGACCAATAAAATTTTTATATATACATAATATGGTAAAAAAGCCGCATTTACAACGCATTGCAAAGAGGTTCAAAATGAATGTTCATTTTTAAATAGTTCCTGAAGTTTTATTAATAAAACTGTGCATATCGCATCATATTTTTAAAGAAAGATCGCTGAATGAAAATATTATTGTTTTTAAAACTATGCGCTTATACCTACATACATATATAAGTAAATTAATATTATTTTTATGCTTTTAATTTTATTTTTCACACACTCATATCTAATCTGGTAATATAATTACATTAAAACATTTATTAAAGCTCATCATAAATTATTTGTCACACAAAGATGAATTATTTTTGTAATACATAATTTTAATACACATAATATGCATATGCACGTTACCAATAAATAGTATGGTAACGGTTATTAAGTGTATCTGTGTATGCAGTATGACTCGAATACAAAAACAAATATAATGAATTCTCACAATAAATCGGGAGAAAATATGAAAAGAAAATAGAAGAGGGGAATGCTCATTTCATCAACTTTTTTTTTTGTTGAATGTAGTGCAAGGTTTTATTTATTTTTAATAAGTTTATCACATTTGATTTATGCAAGCATATTGAAAACTTTAAAATATAAAATTATTCAAAGCATCCCACATACATAAGTATTTGTCTATATTATAATACTCGTATATTGTAAAAGATGGCAAGTTTTTCTTTTTTACAATACTGTAAACAAATTATGAAAATGTTATTGTTTGTAATAAATGTATGTTTGTATCTTTATTGATGCAAATAATATCTAAAACTGCTTATAAAAAATATCTAAAAATGCATCCTCTAATCACATTGCATTATGATTTTCCAAAATACTAAGAACAGTGATGTCTAATTCACTGTATGTTTTGGCAATTTTTGTTTAGGTAAAACTTTGCGTGACAGGATTGCTTTACAAACTCTATATTACACACAAAATCAATGGGATTATGAATGTTCGTTATACAGTTAACGTTCGATAATTGCGAAACTGTTTATAAATTTAAAAGATAAAAAGTATTGCTTTTTTTTCACCTAGAACTATTTTTTAATTTTTTCACAAGTTGTATTAACTTTAACATATACTTTGACGTTGTCAAAAAATAGCTCAATTATTTTTTGAACATAAAAAGTAGCCTTGAGACTTATTATTTATTCAAATTTAACTAAGTAATTTTTTAATTTTTGTGTCGTGGACGGGCCAAAAGAAATTTTTGCTGAAAATGTCTGTGACAGATGAAAAATCTTCACAGATTCACACAAAAAAAAATCCATACGGTTATCGAAATCAGTTATTTGTATACTATGTATGTATGTATAATCTATAGACATTTATCAAAATGCAAATGACTTATTCAACTTGGCTTATTCAGCTAAACATATATCGCTGAATAAGTAAAAATTAACTTTTGTTATTGACCATATCCGAGGAAGGATATGAAACTTTTAATTTGCTAAAACTTTGTTTTGTTCAGACAAGTTTCCTGAAATGCTGCATAATTCTGCAATTTTTGCTATACAACATCAATTCAAACTATTTTCAACCCGGGAAAAATTCCAAACGTAAAATTATATAATTTGAATTGCGCTATTCTACATGAACGCAAAGTAACTAATTTAAGATATACAACATAATTTGAAGTTTTTTCTCCTTATTCTGTAGCTATGTATATTTTAATAAATAGGTAAGTAACCTAACTACTTGATAATTTGAGAGTCTATTTATTTTACCCTCTTTTGCGTTTTGTGTAAAAAACTTTTTAAATCTTTATTTGCTTATTAAGTTTTACATAGGTAGCCACCGTGATAAATTAAAATGTTTTGTTTTGATAAAGGAATTTTGACGTTTCAAAATTTATTTTTGATAACACCTCATTCCTCACTTGGTATGCATTTTACTTGTCATATTCGATGTATGGTGGTATTAGAAGATCGAAAAATGTACTTATATTATTATCAAAATATAAAAATAAACGAGTAATTAGGTGCCTATATCAAGTTTTAAAATATAAGAAGAAAAATGCTATAAAGTGCCTTAAAATTTATTGTAAACAGGAAATAGGTGATTTTATTTATTCATCTAAATTGTGAGCTAAACAAATATCTCAGGCAGAAAGCTTTTATGTTTCCACTAAAATATTCTTGCATTAATCTTTACGTTTTTGATTAAAATTTTTACGTATATGCAATGCATATACGTAATGAATTGCGTTATAACTAATTTTATGTTTTTATTTTAGGACAATTGTGAGCATATTTTATACCAGGCGAACTAAATCAAAAGAAAGACTAGCAGTATTCTACCTAGGCAAGGAGCAAATTCAATATGTTAAATACGAAAAAAATTAGTAAAATATTAGTACCATCTTATTATTATTTAAAAACTTCATTTGTTTCCAAGATAACCCGGTCTTATCAGAATGTTAATAGAACCAAAGATCTAATAAATACTATGTATTATCTAAAGAGAGCTGTTAAATATCAAAATTTTGGATCCAAGTTAAAAATATTTTTTAGTAGCTGCTACGCCAACAATACATACACTTTATTATGGCCCCTCACAAAATGCAAAAAGGATGTGCTTAACGAAAAACGTGGAATTCATTTAAGTACAACATTTTTTAAGCGTAGAACATCAAAAGTAGAAGAGTCAGACAAATTAAAAATGAAAGAACAAAATGAAAAGATTTCTATCAGTGATGCTGAATTGTTAGACGAAGCTCTAGTTGTTATTACAAGAAATAAAAAATTTAGGGAAGACATCGAAGACCTTAAAAAAAAGTTGGAAGTGGTAAATGATCATACCCACAATATCAGCAAAAATAAAGTAACAAGTTTTCTTCATAAAAAATTAAATAAAATTGTCGGGCAATTAGATAAAGAACTTAATGACTTAGAAACGAAAATTAATAAAAAAGAAAAAGTTTTTTGCGAGGCTGAACTTAAAGTAGAAGAAAAATTTGAAATTGGTTTTTCAAATAAAACTGAAAAAGATATGATAAAGATTAGTGAAATAATCAAAACTGTAAAAAATTTGCAAAAAGGATATGACGAGGTCAAGTTAAAAAAAGTTGAAAATCTTCTTCGGAAAATTGATACAAACCAAAATGATTTAGTTTCAGTTAAAGATGTTTTAATAATTATTGAAGCAATTATTGCAAATAATGTAAAATTACATAAGAAATAAGTAAGAAAAATAACGAATAGAAATGAACCGGAAGACTTTTTAAATTCATGAAAGTACTGTAAAACCGTGAGTAATAATAAATAAATTAAGATCCCAAATTAAAACAGTTTGACATAAGTGAATTTAAATGGATATTGTAAAATAAACAATTTGCAACCGCTTCCAAAAATAACATAAAAGCTGTATGAAAGAGATGTAGGAACGAAGATTTGGGTTTTTTTTATTTTTGGTACCTACTCTTTTGGTGATCATTGTGTAGTAGCAAAGTTAAACGAAATTTCGTGGAAGTATGATTTTGAAAAAAAATTGTATTTTAGATTGAGTTTCATTTTTGCAGATCGTCAAAATAATCGAGAAATACCAAAAAGGCAAAAGAAGCCGAATTCTACAAATTTTAAATAATTAAAATAGAAACAAGTGAGAATCAGAATGAAACTAATCTTTGCATGCACAAATTAAATATAAGTCAATATTTTTTAAAAAATTTTAAAAATGAGAACATCAAATATTTAACGGTGCACATGTGAAATAGAATAAAAATTTAACTAAATGAAAAAATAAACAAAAAATACAGATGTATGTATATGAAATACTTGTTTTTTATTCGTGTAAGGGTAATTTGCTATTAGCGCCTGTACCACTTGGTGCAGCCATTTCGTTCTTATGATTTGCATAAATTTAAAATATTGAATATAGAAGGATCAGTAAGGTGTTCTGGGTAAAAGTTCAAAAAGATATTCTTATATGCATATAGCCGAATATAAGATCCGTATAAAATATGTGCAACATACACATATTTTCATTAACACGTAAAACTTTGAAACAATGAACTAACACTGTCTAACCCTTAATAAAAAATAAAATAGAAAAAATAAAATAGTGATAATTTTATTAATACATCACCTTTTTTTTCAAAAAATTAAATATCATAATGAACGAATAAATGAACTTATACCACTTTAAAAAAAAAAACAACTTCAGAAATTTCTTTTAGGCTCGTATACCACAATCAAAAAATAAAAACAGGTGTACATATTATTTAATTTTTTATAAATAGGTACATAACTAAATACTTTATTTTTTTAATTTTCCCTTTTTCCACTTACTTATTTTTGAAACACATCTGTGATTATTTATTTTAAATTTCTTATATGTTATTACATATTACAAAAAGTAGCAAAGGTTTTTGGCTCTGAAAATCGAACTTGGTTCACAATTCAGAAATCATGAATATAATCCTAAATTTAGTTCAAAAAAATTTAGATCAAAAGTTCATCGCTAGAAAATAAAGAAAAATTTTCCAATACAACTTGTAAACACAATGAATGAACTTATTTTTAAAATATTATTTTCCTTTTCATGATTTTAAAATAAAATAAAAAATACTGGTAGACGAAACTTAAAAAAAAAAAATTTATAGTTCCACATATGCATATACCATAAATATTACATTTTCTTCTAGTATAGAACTGTTTCGGGATAGTGTATTTCGACCCATCAGCAACTTTTAAATGAAATAAATTGAAGATCAATTTATTATTTTATTATGAAAATTAAAACAACCAAAAGTAAGCTTATAAAAATACATATTTGGAAAACCTTATAAAATATAAACCAAAAATGAGACAAGAGTGATGTGTTATAAGGTGATAGAATCAAAACATTATTGACTTTTTTAAAAATTTTTGACTGCCTAGCGTTGTTTAAGTTATTTAAGTTATTTTGAAAAATAAATATAATTTCTGTACGTGTACCTATACCTAATAAAATTATTTCCTTCAATTTGATTGAAGTTTTTTTGTTTAAGTGTAATTAGAAACTTTCTTTAAGATAAGGTAGCCTAAAATAAATTATGTGTAATACAAAAAAACTAATTATTTAAATAAAACAAAAAAACATTTAAGTACTTCATTATAATGAACGCTAACATCGCAAAACAAATCACTGGTTTTTATTTATAAATCCTATAATTTTAATTATAACTGATAAGATTAAATTTTCAAGAGTATAATAATATTTAAAATTTCTATTGACCAAAACATTTTCCCGTTATAAAAGGTACACTTGTACATTATGTAATTGAAATATTGGCCGTTATCATAAAGTCAGGCAAAATATTTATGGAATAACCACATTTTTTATTTACATTTTACAATACGCTTCAAGTCGTTTCTATCTAATCTCCATGAAAAAGTTTTCGCAGTGTACATTGCACGTTGTACAAAAAAACAGGTATAAATATAATGAGATCTGATAAGACTAGCTAATGCTCTGCAACATGATGTAAATTAACTTAAGAATGCATACGTTGTGTGCTGACAAAATAAATATCAAACTGAAGTTTTATCCTTTTCATGTTAATCTTGAAATTGTGGTAATGACCTCTTTATTCTATCTGAACCACTTTTTAGATAACACTTTCAACGTAGTTTTAAGTTTTCAAGTGTTACGGGGAATCAAAATCAAATTTTAACATTATATTAGTTAAAAGTAATATTACAAAGCTATCATTTTATTCCAAAGATCTAGTTATATCGAGTGATAAGGTGAAATCAAAGAATTTTAACGGTAATCAAAGTACATATTATAAAAATTGCTTCTGTTTCTTATCACAATCCCACTTGAATCTCAAGTATTTTGATATATATATGTATATATTCATCATTATATTCTAATCTTTTGAAATAACTATTGCATACTTTTTTTATTAGAAATTAAAATAAAAATACACAGATAAATAATTATTTTTTATACCAATTAATATTTTGTACTCGAACGTCTTCTGATAAAAATGGAGATTAAATATTTTACTAAGTGTATAAAAAGAAGTTGTTTTGTTTTCCAAAACTTTAATTTCGATTTATACTTTTACGTTGTATAGATTTGAAAATAGAAAATGTTCATCAAAGAATTATTTTTATTCAGTTTGTTATGTCTAGCTGCTTTAGCCGAGAAAGCACGCTATGATAGTTATCCAGTTTACAAAGTTATACCACAAACTGAAGAACAAATAAAATTATTGCTTAAATTTGAAGATGTTAGTGATAGCGTTATTCTCTTACATGGTGCACATCAAGTTGGTGAAAGCATTAATGTAGTTGTGGCTCCACATAAAGTTCCAGATTTTTTACAAACTTTAAGACAAAAAGGAGTTTTCCCGGAATTGATTGAAAAAAATTTTCAATCACATATCGATGAGGAATCACGTTACAGCGTCGCACGTGGTCGTAGCTTTTATGGATGGAAACAATATTATGATTTAGAAGCAACTTACGAGTTCTTAAGAGAAACAGCAAAAAAATATCCAAATATTGTTGAATTAGTCCAAGGTGGTAAATCATATGAAGGACGTGACATACTTGGGGTTAAATTATCATACAAAGCTGGTAACAAAGCAATTGTTCTTGAAGGTGGTATTCATTCTAGGTAAATACGAATTTAAAATTATGCAAACCATTTTACTTATACATATATAAAACAGTGTTCATTTTCTATATTATGTTCGGAATTACCTTCATTTAATTTTCTAATTGTTCATTTGCAGGGAATGGATTTCTCCAGCAACAGTTACATATATTTTAAATCAATTATTAACAAGCGAAAACGCAGCAACACGCCAAATTGCTGAAAACTTTGATTGGTATTTCTTCCCCAATACTAACCCAGACGGATATGTATATACACACAAAACTAACCGCATGTGGAGAAAGACTAGATCTCAAAATGGAATATGCTATGGTGCTGATCCAAATCGTAATTGGGATCTTGCATGGAATACCGTAGGAACAAGTTCATTACCTTGTTCTGATACTTATGCTGGAAAATCTGCTGAATCAGAAGTCGAAGTTAAATCTTTTGTTGCATTCTTGAAAACTTTAAAAGGAAAAATTGAATTATACATTTCGTTCCATTCATTCTCTCAGCTTTTACTTTTCCCATACGGATATACTTCTAAAGCCCCATCAAACTACAATGACCTGAAAAGGATAGGAGATGTAGCAGCTAACGCATTAGCCCAACGCTATGGAACCAAATACACAGTCGGCGATATTTATCATACAATTTACCCCGCTTCTGGCTCGTCTATAGATTATGTAAATGGCGCTCTTGATGTACCTTTAACTTATTGTTATGAATTAAGACCCAGATCTGGTGGAATGGACGGATTTATGTTGCCAGCAGAACAAATTATCCCAACTGGCGAAGAAACATTAGATTCTCTTACAGCTATGATTAATGAAGCTGTTAAACTAAAATATTTTCAAAAATAAATATTAATTTGATTTTAATCAAATTTTTAAATTTAAAGGGCTAATACAAAATGACGATAATTTAAAATAAAAACTAGTCTAGAAAATTGAAATAAGTATTTTAATTTAAATATACAAATGTACTTTGGCTTTAATATTCTATTGCTAAGCTCTTAAAACTGATGTGCAGACGCATTGTTAAAAGAACGTACTTATGTACAGATTCAGTCCTGACTCCCTAAATTACATACATATGTACATATACGAAATTATGTTAAAAAAATTTGTAAAAGTTTCATAAAAAATACCAGCATTAAGCGCTTTTAATTTAGGACCTTAGCAATAAAAATATGTTGGTGATCATTAGTCAAAGCTAAACTGAAATAAAAAATCCTTTTCGATATTTGATACAATACTAAATTTAGTGAAAATAAGTATCAAATAAATTTAGTGAAGGAAACTGTATCAAATAAACATCTAATTATTTTTAAGTCCTACTTAAATATGGCAATTTGAATTTAATATAAGTATTTAATACACGTAACTTAATATATGTATATTTATATACTTACATATTAAGTATACAAATATGTGTAGATATATATTACGTGATAATTGATATTGATAACAAAGTTATTTGGACTAAAGTGCAAAGTCAGTGCAACATTGTCATATTTTAGTTTTAATTGTTCGCTCTTAATTTTCAAAAAGTTTTGAAGAGGTTGGTTTTGAATATCGAAAGACTAAGTCGATATTCATACAACTCAACTCAGTCTCAAACTATAATCAAACCAATTCATACAAATAAATTTACGATAAAATATCCTTAAAAATAACAATACTCCTCTTATAGCACATTAGACAATTGAAAACACCTCTGATTAAATGTCATGTTGTTTTTTCAGCTGTCATTTTTTACACTATAGATCTGATAACAATAATAAAGAACAAATCAAAAAAGTTCAGAACGTTTTAAAATTTCAATTTCAAAAAGTTTTTGGGGATGTTAACTGAAAAATTATCCACTTCTGATAGTGAATTAGAATGCATAAAAGAAGTTTCAGTTAACAAACAGCTTGCAAATTTAAAATATGTCTGTAAATTTGGGGAGTGTGGTAAAAGATTTAAGAGGGAGACCTATTTAGATAGACATGAGTTTCATCATGATGGAATTGTAAGAAAATAAAATATCGTAAATTATACTTTTAATATGTTGCTTAATCATTTTTATCTTTATAGAAAAAGCACGTTTGTTTATACGATAACTGTGAAAAGTCTTATATTATATCAACCCATCTTAAGCGACATGTTCAAACTTTCCATGAAAAGTATCGCAAAGAGAAAAAATTTAAATGCACCATAGCGAACTGCAATAAGCAGTTTGACTCTTTATATAATGTTGAACGACATGTTACTAGCACTCACCAGAATTCAAAAACATACACTTGCAAAAGTTGTGGCAAAAGTTTTTCTAGAAAATTGACAATGAGGAGGCATGAGATTATGCAGCACAATGGCGAATATCCATACAGGTTAGTTAAACTACTGAAAATTAACATGAGATTTTATTGTGTATTACCATATTGCAGATGTAACGTTTGTAATAAAGGATACATTCAGGAAACACATTTGAAAAAACATAAATGCTTACAAAAGGAGGCTTTGTACAAGTGCGAAAGATGTAACAACGCGTTTACAAAATGGTCTTTGTTAATTGAGCATTCAAAAAGTGAACATGAGAGAGCTATAATGTGTAGTTGTTGTGGCAGGGAATTTCATAGAAAGATTGATCTTCAAAATCATGAAAATAGTGTGAAAAAGAAACAAGAAAGCGAAAACACAAAAATTGAATGTCCTTACGAAGGCTGTGATCGTATATACAACTTTAGAAAGAATTTAAACCACCATATTAAAGTAAAACATTTATGTAAAAAATATAAATGTCCAATTGAGGAATGTGGAAAAGAATTAGCTACGAAACAAAAACTTAATCTGCATATCGAAAAAATGCATAAAATGAATAAAAAGGTATTGAAAAAGGATAAAACCAAAATAAAGAAGAGGAGGAGAACAAGAAAGGACGCTGGGCAACCGAAACGATCTTTCGCAAGTCGATTATCTAATGTTGTGTTCAACAATTTGATTGAAAAAACTGTATTATCCAAAGAAACAGGCGAAATTGAGGTGACGAAAGATACTGATGTTTTACAACCAGAAGTTGAAAACAATGAAAAAATTGCAGGTTCAGTTGTCACTTTGGAACTAGATAACTTTTAATATAATATCCTGATGTAAATAGAAAAATTTTAAATATATTTTTTGCCTAAAAAATTATATATATATATTATAATTATAGTGAATTTATAATTTTGCGTTTCCTCATAGCCTCCAACCAATTCTCGAATTGCTCTTCTGGGGTTTTTGAGGCAGGAAGATAATATTCTTTGGGAGGTTTACCTTCTTCTAAGCGCACAAAATAATGACAGTGTTTATATTCTACCCTGCCAGGTCTACCTCTTGCATGTCTTCGTACACCTTTAAAGTAACGGCCTTTTCCAACAAAAGACTCAGCTAACAAAAAAAAAAAACAGTTGAAGAAATATCATTCAGTCTTCATTTTACTGCATACCAATCCACAGGTTACTTTTAAACTCAACGTTGTGTTCCCTAACAGCCATTTCTTGAGCTTCCAAAATTACTTCACGTACTTCTTTAGCTCCTTTTTTCAAAACAAAATTAAGTTGTTTTAAAGCTTCATCGATTGACATCCCCCTTACAAAAGAAGCAATGTACCACATTTTGTCTGGACTGTATTTTATATTAGTTTTCATATGGCAGACAAACTAAAAAAGTAATAAAATTTTACAATTAAATATCATGTTTTTCAAATAACTTACAGCTTTTCTAGGTTCCTCATTTGGATCCATCTGTGGTGGATATACAATTTTGTTATATTCAAGCCATTTCCTAGGTCCAACATTTTGGCGATTCCAATTAGCGTTATTTGTAGCAGAAATGTGCATTGCCTTCAAACCCAAAGTTTCGAAACATGAATTATTTTTTAAGATAAACGATCCAATGGATCGGCAAATTGAGTTCATTTTCGTTCAGTTAATTGTATACTGTATAGATATTATAAATTAAAAATGTTTCTAAAAATTCTAGTAATTTTTTAACTTGTATTACTTAAATTAAAAAAAAATAAATAACAAAACATAACCTTCAATTATACTTGACAATTAAAAAATTAAAATAGACAATCAAAAGGGTAAGTGTCAAATGAAACCAAAAGTAAACACAAAATGTCCATTTGGGAAGATATGAGATCTAAACATAAAATTATTTCTTGGGTTTACAGTTTTCTTGCAGTCACTTCCCAAAAATTTTCAATTTTGACAAATTTCATTATTATACATATGATAAATTATAAAAAAATAAAATTAAAATAGAGCATAATGCAATAACTCTTAACCCTTTGAACCTGGTTACGCTTAATTTCAATAAAAAAAAAAATAAAAAAAAAAATTTATACAACTTAATGCAAATGAAACATCTAACCATATCTACTTAAAGTTATATTGCGTGCACTCAAAGTTTGGTAATCGGCTCAATATAATCGGCCTTTCGTGACAGTGAACAGCTGCAAATCTTTTGTACCTATTATGCAGATTTGATTTGGTCAACTTTACCCATTCCTGTTTCAGTTTTTCCTTGGAAATCAGATAAAACGTAATTGAAATATGTAAGGTGCTGATAAAATCTAAGTCACCAAATGTTGTTTCCAAAATAGCATTAAAACTATCAAATGACAGGCTAAATATAATTATAGAAAATTGTCTAAATGAAATAATTTATGTAAAGCACGGCAACAATATTTTTGTTTCCCAAATGTCAAATATTTCTAATCAAAAAATTTGCAAAAATGTTTATTGGGTTGTAATGGTAAAAAAATACATGCGCGCATAAATGGCATTACGGAAAAGTTATCCCTTTTGGGTTGACAAGTTCGATTGATTTGCTTTTGATAAAGAAAAAAAATAAAAGTAGATAAAAAAAACTTGAAAATTTTGCAGTTAGCAATTTTAAAAACCAATTAGTTCCAACTACAATTGGAGAGATCAAAATCTTTCATCTATAACAAAAATTAATACCAAAATGAAAATGTACTTAATATAGGACTAAAAATAGAAAAGTGCAAAAATGATTTAAAAAATTTTTATTGAAGGTAAAAAAGAATTTGTATGTACTTGCGAAGTGAAAAGTCAATTTTACATTGAACTTCACTCGCAGTACACAAATTTTATACATAATTAAACAAATTAATTTTTAAATAATTACAAAAAAAGGTGAAAAAAAAGTAATTGTGCATAAAATAATCGATAAAGAATTTAGAGGAAAAAAATACAAAATTTTTAGTTTGTTTTTGTTTTCGGACAAAAAAAAAAGAAAAAACTCCTATATATTTCAAAAATTAATTGGTTTTAAGTGTATATTTTGAGATGAATAAACAGCAAATTCAAAGTACAAACCGCGAAATTCAAGAAAATCAGATTGAAGAAGCTGAGGATCCAAATAAAAATGTTGCCAATAATTCCGAAAAGGTAATAAATTCAGCTGCTTTCAATATGTACATATATATATAAATAATTTTAATTTTAAATATTAATATTTACGTATTAAAAATACGTAAGTGTTTTATTATAATTATAACCAACATGAACTTGAATGAATGAGAATTCTATAAATATCTCATAGTAATTTTGCATTTTCGTTTTTTTTCTATAAAACTTTTATGTACATAAATCGTACATAATGTAATACACGTAGTTATATGAGTATAGCTGTACACATACATATATTTCTATTGTATATATTTAGGATTGTCTAAGAATTAGCGGCTTAAATATATTGTATGCGCTTTTTCAATTTTTTTTTAAATTGATATTGCCATGTGAGAAACATTGTATATACATACTTAAAAACATACATAAAGTATATATATATGGCAATCCTATGTAATATTATGTATGAATTCAGATGGTTATTTTTGTATGTGAAACATTTGTAAATATGTTATTATTTAATACTTTTTAATAATGTTTTGTATAATAATCCACTTTAAAATATACCTACAAAGAAAAGAAAATAAAAAAAAAATAAAAAACAGAAAAAACGGAATATTAGAAAAAATAACGCCACAAGTTATGCAATTATTTTTAACTAAAGGTTTTTTCTGCATCCTGATTTTGTTTTATGCGCGAAAAAGTTTAACTGTTTTGCTTGAAAATAAAATAACTAGTTTTATTTTAAAATAAAAAAAAATCGAAATTTTATTTTTTGATTTTTTTGAATAACCTTAACCTGCCTAACTTTCTAAATACCTACATATATTCACTTGAATGTCTATATGCATACTTATTTATATGAGAAATATTTTTTTATGGAAATTTTTAAGTATATTAGAAATTTGTTAACAAAAATTTTCAGCCACATCCGATATGACGTTTTCGACATGTATATAGTAACTTATGCTGAATATAAAACGGTGCCAAAATTAACTTTTTGTATTTCAAATTTTAAAGGTTTTTACCGTCGTTTGCCGAATTGTATATGATTATATAGAATCAATTTTTATTTAATTTTGCTTTTATTTTGCTCTTGAATTTCCCTTTGTCGACTTTAATTTACTATATCTTAATATATATGTAAGTATGTTTTGTAAATACATTTATACATACATATGTATGTATATCCATCAGAAATGAAACCTTAGAAATATATAAGAAATCACACAAGGGTGATAAGAAGCACGAACTTGTGAATATTACAAAGAATTTTAAGCTTAATATTTTAATACTTTTTAGAAATTTCAAAAATGAAATTGCTAGAAAATTTCATATTTAGAAGGTTTTGTCTTGTTACAAAATAAGAAAGAAAATCAGAAAGAACTGATTAACAAAAAAATTTTGAAAATCCAATAAGTTAAAACACAACGATTTATTCCTTCTTTATTTTAAAACACAAATTCATGATATTAAATAATAGATGGAATTTATAAACTTAGTTAGGAGACTAACTTAATTGTATAAAAATGTGTAGTGGTGTCTCATCAGGGTTACAATGTATATAATTTGCATAGTTTTCCAAAGGGGGAGCAAGTAATATTTATGTTAATTTTATTGTAGACAAATATATTAGTAGAAATACTTTACTTCATCAATATCCAAAATATAATAGAATTATGAACAATATCTTATGCAAAACACTTACAAAAGTAATTTAAAATATAATTCAAACTTTTTGTCCAAAAATATATTAAATTCAGATTTTTTTAAACCATGCATATAAATTGCATGTTGCGTAAAAAGACATTTAAAATTACGCAACATTTGCCACCAACTTGAAAGTTGTATTTTTAATTACATGCTATATGCAACGATTAAGTTGCGTTATTAACGGAGTGGTAAATTCGTGATGCTTTTCAAATTTACATAGTTCGTGTAGGAGTAAAAATAAAACATTCGAAAAGGACTGAGTGTGAAAAAATCTTCATTAAATTATCAATTTTTTTGATTCACAACTATTTTTCACTTTTAATATGATTTCAAAATCTAAGACCGGCATAGATTAAAAGGTGTAAGCAAACTAAAAAAAAGCCTTTTTAAAATAAAAAAAGCTTTAGACTTTATTCTGTACAATATTTTTGTACCTTAATTACATTTTTAGTGAAAGGTGTTTGAATTGAAAATCTATACAAAAATTTTCTTGCTTACAAATTTGTTGTAATGTTATTAAATGTACTTATGCATATTTATTGTAAAGTTTTTCTTATTAACTGTTTTCTAGCTTGTTTTCTGATATTTTAAGAATTTTCCATAGAATTTAGGTTTAGAAAAATTGTCAAAAATAAAGACTGTTTTATTGAAAAGCAGTAGCTTTGAAAGCACGTTTCCAATTCACCGTAAAAATGCCGTTGTTTATTTTCGAACTAGCATATCTTCGGAAATCTTAAGGTTGTCTCTAATGAACTCCACATTGCTATACAGTTATTTAATTGAAAAGCTGTAAAGCATTTTAGTTAAAGTTAATTTATTCGGAAACTATTAAATACTCCCTCTTATAATTGTGGTTAAAGCAATTTTATTTAATTTATAAATATCATAATACATAATTGAACCTGTCATGAGAATTAAAGGTAGGCCATTTCTATAAGAATATCAAACTTTATTTTAAATAATTTATGTATAAAATTGTAAAATATATAATGATGTTGGAAACCTTGATATGTGATATTAAAATGGACTAAAATTTCAAAGCATTGAATTAAGTTTTAGTCAGAGATAGACATACATTCACATATTCATATACAAATAGATATAGATCGGTATGTACTATTAAGTATAAATTTTTTTTTACTTTAAAGAAAATAAACACAAATCAAAATAAAAAATTCATTAATGCAGTTGAGATGTGCGATTTTGTAGGACATGTCATCATAGCATTATGCTAAAGTTTGAATAACAACCGCATTGATGCTTTTTTTAAATTAATTTATATACAACTATAGTGTTGCCATGTAAACGTAATAGTTAATATTGTTTTGTTATTTAAAAAAAAAACTAAAGTTCATTATTAAAAAATTTAAAGAGATACTTCTCCGGAAATTAATTTTATATTTTGGATTGCACATAATGATTAAGAAGCTGTTTGCTAAGAACCTTAAAATTAAATACAGATTAAATTAACATTAACATACAAATTTTATTTAAACATTCTTTATTTCAGTTTGTTGTTCATCTTATAGTTGACTTCCATGAAATATGTAAGATAACAGCAGCACTTCCTTTAGTCACATTACTTTCCTGTTTTGTAACGGCGTACGTCTTCCAATCTGAAGAGGTCCACGAGACTCATTGTCGAGTAAGTTTTCATTTTTATATAATAGATTATAATGCATACGTTTATAAATTTGTTCTTAATTATATGTCCTTTATAAATGTCGAATTATTTACATTTGTCACTCAATAGTTATTGAGTCTACTATATATGGAAACAATTAAATCAATAATTAAACAAAATTTTTAAAAAAATATTTTAAAAAAATTATTTTTTCTTTTCTGTATTTATTTCAATTATGCATTCTTTTCTTATTATTCAAAAATTATATATAAAAAATTTTTCAATTTAGGTTTATAATATTATACCATCAATAAGTGCTATTACTGGTGTTAGTCCGCAACGTTATTTTTGGCGGTTATGTATTGCGTTTCATATAGGTCCAAGAATTCCAATAACAGTTATGTATCGAAATTATTATCGGAATTATTTATTAATGCACGATTTAACCGATGACGTTTTTAAAAGAGCCAAATTATTAATTAATTTAGTTTTTTGGTTGCATATGGTTGAAGTAATTGCTTTAGGTGGTGTTACATACGTTTCAAATCGAGAAAATTATCGTAAGTTAAAATATTAGAATTATTATTATTGATATATTTTTTAATAATAAATTTTTAAATTTTAGCCATTCATGAGAAAATATTCATAACATTTATGGTGTGCTCATTGTGTCATATGTTGGCAACAATTAAATTGTATGAAATATTACATCCGAAAGAAAAAATTACCGAAACTCAAGAAAAATCATTAAAATGGAAGAAAATTATATTTGCGGTTTCAATTTTAAGTACAATTGGATTGTTTTTATTTTTCCTGAAACATCGATTGTTTTGTCACGAATTAGGTATTTGTATAATCTACAACTAGTGATTTAAGAATATAAATTCCGCCAATACAATTTATTATAAAACTCTGAATAATATCAAGTATATATACATATAAATAAATATATTAAGAATTTGAGTTATATGTTCAGAATTTGTTATATACTTATATTAAAAATTGTAGAGTATTTTTGAAAAAAGTGAATTATTTAAGCCGTGGAAAATTTACTTATTTTGTAAAATGTTTGAAATTTAAATTTAAGGAGATATGGTTATCTAATTAAAATTCTATATAGATTTAAAAATAATTTAGTTTGTTTTTAAACACATTTCAGAAATATAATTATTATTTACCAGATTTTTCAATTATTTAACAAAGTTTCTTTTTTCTTGTTTTTTAGCTTTTAGTTGGTTTGCACTATGTGAATATATTATTGCAACAGCCAATATGGTTTTTCATTGTACAACAATATGGGATTTCCCTTCGGAATATTTACTTTTAGCCCAAGGATCACGTGAATATTTTGAAAAACATTTTCTTAAAACTACATTAATTGACAAGAAAAAAGTCAATTAAAATTTATCCTTAAATTAAGAAGAAAAATTTAATTCTCTTTTTAAGAAATTGTATTTAATTAAATTTTAGAAACAACAAAAACTAAAAAAAAAAAACAGATAATAAATTAATTCAATATTAAAAAATAAAAAAAAATAATAAAATTATTGTTTATTAGGTAAAATTAAATAATTTAATTAACATGTATTTGTATGTATTTAAAGTATACATATGTATGTTTATATATATGTTTATACATATTTGTATATGTACATAAATATATATATTTATAATTATATAGTTAAAACACACTAGTCATGAATACAATTATAATATATTATCTACTTAAAAAAGGATAAATTAATATATATATATATATATATATATATATATATATATATGTATATGTATAAATAAATATCATAATGGTTATACCAAATAATAATATGAATGCAAAAAAATTTAGTCGTATCTCTGGATATAATAACATGAAAATTTATCACAAAAATAGTTTGTAAAAATCGTTTATCTGCTTATCACACCGATATGAATAAAGAATATTTTGTTACATTTTTACATAACATTTTACTAAAACAGCGATTAATTCAATATTTTATATAATATAAAAACAAAAAAAAACTATATATATATATAATATTATTTTCAAATTTATCATAAATTTAGATTAACCTACTATTTAAAATGATGTTAATAACAAAAAAAAAATAATATCTATCCAAAAATATTCAAAAATGTAAAATTATACAGGATAGATAAAACTATATTGTAAATAATAAAATGTCATTTTATAAAAATTGAAAAAATACTGATTGTATAAAGTCGTCCTGAATAAATAATAAAAAAATTTAATAAATTTATTCAGTGTTAAAAAAAACCCATAAGTGTAAAAAAACAATGCATAAATAATGTATTTATTTGTATATATATGTATATATATAAAATATATAGTTATATATATATATACAGATGTATAAATCAATTATACTATAGCAAACAAAAATCAGTATTTAAAAAAAGAAACTAAAACCTAAATAAGACGTTAATTCCCTTAAGATTATTTAAGTTCAATTTTACTCGAAATTCAAGTCAGTTTTTTTTCTGTTCTAGCATTAAGAATTAACTAAGCTTAAATTCGCAATTACATACATATTAGGTGTGCTCAAAATTTTAATTGTATGTAAAAGAAAAAGAAAAAAAAACCAAAGAAATATATATGAATTAGCTATTATGGAATTTTAATAAAGAAAATTAAAACATGGTTTTAAAAGACGCTATACACATGTCAGACCCAAGTATACTTAGTTGATACAAAAATTAATTAGAACTTTTAATTTTTAAATTTACTACGGATTTGAATTTAAATTAAAAATTGAATTATAATAAAGTTTTGACTGTTATTTTCAATATAATTTATTATATGAATTAAATTATTAAATAAAACTTCAATTATAATTATATTGCGATATGATTTTTTTGTACATAAACACATAATTAATTTATTATTTTTTTTAAGACTCAGATTCAAGTTGAAAAGGTATGTGAATGCAAATATTTTGCATGATAATTTTACTTTTTAAAATTTCTTAATAAAAATATTGCATGTAAACATTAATTTTTTAATTATTTCTTACAAATATATTATATATTATGATATATGTATATTCAAAACTATAGAATAATTTTGAAGATAAATGGACCATTTAAATATATAAATATTATATATAAATATTATTTATATATAACTATTTCTATATAAATATTATAGTTATATATAAATATTAATATAAAATATTATTTTATTTTGTATTATTATTAATTCAAATTGCATACGAACAACCACTTACAATATTTACTAATAAAATATAAGATAAGACAATAAATTATTCTGCCAAGATTTGAATATTCATCGTAAAATTATTTTTTAATTTCCAAAATTTTAACTTTGAATTCAATGTTTTTGTTGTTTATGGTCCTGTAACAATGAATTAAAATATTAAAATATTTTATTACAATCAGAAGTATTTAAATATACAAAAGCAAACATTGTTTCCTGATTTATTTAATTAAAATATTTTTTTTGAATTTTTGGGTCTGAAGTTTTGTATTTGTCTTAAAAATTAAAATATTTTTTAAATTCCACATTGAATACATATGTATAAGAAAATATCTAGTCTTGTATCAAATATTATTCTAAAATATTTTGTTTATTAGTTTTAAAAAAAAATCAATTTGAACAATACTCTAAAATAAATTAAAAAAAATATATTATATTTCTCACAGTTACCTGATACAATTAATATAACAAAAAATTAAAAAAAAAAAAATAGAGCAAAAAACAAAAAAAAAAATCAATGTAAAAAAGATGCTGTAATATTATTAATTAAATAAAAAAAAGAAAAACACAAAATAACTAGACGAAAAAGAGAAATGCTAAGAAAATTAATTAAAAAATAATTAAAAAGTTACAAAAAAAATCAGTATAATATTTACGATAAGAATAGTTTCATTGTAGTTATAAAATTTAAGATATAACATTTATTTTGTTTTTAATTTAATTTTATTTTATAAATTTATTTGATTTCGCATTTGAATGGGCTGTGTCATAATTTTTCTAATATTATATAAAACCATGAACCAAAAACTTGAATCTATATTAAAGCGTTTTTATAAATGTGAAGTAGGTGTATACTGTACTATAATAAGATAATTTTAAATACGTAAAACCTTACGTAAAAATTATTGTAAAATTTAAAACTTTACAATGAGTCAAATGTTTCAAATGTTATACAAGTTAACACTAATTCATAAATACTCATTCAAAATTTTTCAGTAAATATTGAATTAATTCTGGTTTAAAATTTTATATTACATAATTATATATATGTATGTTGATTTTTTACCAAAATTTTATTACGTGACGTGAATGTTCCATTTATGGATATATTTTATACTATACATTTAAAGTATGTACTATAAATATTTGAGTATTAAGAAAGTTATAAATATAATCAGTCCTTTATTTAATTGATTTTTCTACGTAAAAAATAAAAATCATTTTAAATTGTCACTGTAATTTTTTTGTAGTTTTTGGTATTTTAAATATTTATGTTTAGTAAATAATTCTATATTAATATATTATGCGTATTCAAACAAATGTAGATTTTCATTATTCAATATATGTTATTATTACATACATACATATTAACTCCTAGTATTGCAGAATTTAATAAAAAATGTATAATTGTTAATATTTTGCGTTTTTAAAACTATTGCAATTTTTTTTAAGAAAATACGTAAATGAATATATAAAAGAGATTAATTTTTAAGCCGCATTCAGATAAGAAAAGCAATTCAAAATTATTAACAATGTATTTCTATATATAGATTCATTTTTTGGTTCTAAAAGTAAATGAAAAAACCATTTTGTGTTAAAAAAAAAGTATTATTTTTAATTCACATAAAAAAAGTAGATCTATATATTGATAATTTGCAGAAAAATTACCAATTTTTTTTTAAACTATTCAGGTAACTAACGTAACTTAAAGAAATTTCTGGTAAAACCATTGATATATGCCCTTTATTTAAAAGAAAAAATAATTAATTTTCCGTAATAAAAATAAAAGCTGGATGAAATTTCAATTTAAATGTTGAAATTATTGATTATCTAAAATGACATGGCTTCTAAGTAAAAAATCAATTAAGCATCTTAATTTTAGGAACTATTTTAGAAAAACAGAAAAAATCTACTCATATCAACCCAATCAAACTATTTAAAAAAAATGATAACACTTTATAATTAACGACAAAAAATTCATAAAAAGTAAAAGCATATTCATTAAATACTTTTAATTTAATAACAAATTAGAAGGCCTATATTTTTGATATAAAATTAAAAATTATAATTTGCTATTTAAGATCTTATAATTTTGTTGAATGTTTTTTTAAATTTTGCAAATTTCATGCATCCGCTTATTAACATTTTTTTGTTTTGTTATATTTAATTTTATATATTTACATAAATTTAAGGTTCAATAACTAATTATATTATGTAGTAAAAATATAAGAGCTTTTATTTTCGATAGTTTTATGCCGAATTATTTATTGTAGTGTACGTTATTCCTTAAAGTCAATTCCATTTTGAAATTTCGATACACATGTGTATGAAAACATAATTTTCGTATCATTTGTTTTTTTTTTAGTAATTATGATATTTTATTTTTATATATACATATTTATATATATATGTATATATATATATATATAGTTTTTTTAAGCTCCAATAAAAGTTTTAAATGTTTAAAATATGAGAAAATTATATACTAAACTATTTAGAACTCGGTTTTTATTCACATTTACTATAAATTAATTTAGATTAATATTTTTCTTTATATATAAAATTTTCTATTTATTTATACTGTATAACAAAGATGTTATCAAAAGGAATAGAGCTAAAAATGATATAGGTAAAGCAGTCGTTCGGTGAAATTTTTTAATGTAATTCAAATTAATTGCACGTATAGAATTTATTAATGGAAATGTATTTACGTATATTACATAGTTTTATTTAAGAAATAAAAATTATTTAAGAACACAATTTATGAATTTACTAAACAAAATTAAAAAGTACCGCCGAGCTTTTTTGTGCAAAATATTTTTATATTAAAATGAAATTTAAAAAAATAACCAAAATATTGTCAAATTTTCAGTTTTAAAAATATAACAATGAAAAAAATTACGAGGTTTTCTCTATATATTTTTACAAATCACACATTTAAGGTGTTTCTTTTTTTCGTTTTTTTTAAATTCATTAAAATACTTTTATATAGCTATTTAAATTGTATTACAATTTCTTTGCAACACCTATAGTATTGCATTATGTAATTGAGCAATTTTTTATTTTAAATTTATTTTGCAAGTTTGTGTATATTAAATAAAAAAACAAAAAAGAAAATAGCGAAGAAATTTTTATAGTGATTTAAAAAAAATCAATTAAAATTTATTAAATTGCAACCGTAGATGATTTGTAATAGATGGAAAAAAAAAACAAATTCTAGTTACTAATTTTATTAAAATATTATAAAAATAATTTATAAAAGATAATGAATTTTATTTTTGTAATAATTTTAATAAGAGAAATAAATATTTTCTAGTCATAATATACTATACTATATAATTACATACATATATATGTATACAATCGTACTTAAAAATCGTATAAATTTTATCTTAAATATAAAATTTATTTTTAATAATTTATTTTATAACATTTTTATTTCATTAAACT